GATTTTCCTTTGGTCTAGTGCCTCCCAGACTTGAAGCTATAGAAGTTGGTAACCTAGAAATGCTAATGGGTACAGATAAAAAAGCCCCAACAAGTGCCTGCACTCTAGCCAAAGGATCAGAAAAGGGGCAGTCTAGCAAGACAGAAAACTTTTAGACAATTACTGTGCTTTTGGATGTACACTACAGAAAAACCCGTGGCTCTCCAGCAAAGGCTGAATGCAGAGCCTAAATTTCCAGTCTCATCAGGCTATAACAAGGTGCCCCGATCCCTCCAACTGAGGTGGTGTCAGTGGAGAGGACAGACTTTTAACGTTGCCCAGCAATAAAGAAGCTACCCTCTCCCTCCTCCCTGTGATGCCACTGGAGGCTACATGGAGAACAGTAATGGATTCTACTATTCCTTCCAACCAGGATGGTGTCAGCAGAAGCCTAGTTGGGAGCCAGAACTCCTACTCACATGTAGCAGTAACAAGGGTATCCTAATTCCTGGTGGCAATGGAGGCTAAGTGGGAAACCAAGATTTCTACCTCTACCTTGCTGTAATAGGGGAAGTTGCCCTACTGCAGTACCTCTACTAGAGCAGTGTTAGAGAAAGCTAGCTAAAACTGAATATTTAAATAATATCCAGACTCTTATAATACTCAAAATATCCAGGTTTCAATTTAAAAAAATCACTTGCCATGCCAAGAACCAGGACATTTCAACTTAAGAATATAGATGCCAACACTGAGATGACAGAGATGTTGGAATTATCTGACAAAGATTTTAAAGCAACGCCCCCCCTCAAATGCCTCAGAGAACAATTACCAATAGATTTGAAACAAATGAAAAAATAGAAGGTCTTAGAAGAGAAGTAGAAGTGTCAGAAAAGAAGCAGAATATATAAACAAGAACCAAAGGAAATTTTTTGAACTAGAAAATACAATAACTGAAAGAAAAACACAATGGATAGGCTTAACAACTGAATGGAGAGGACAGAGGAAACAATCAGTGACCTTGTAGAACAAAACAACTAACCTGAGTTGAACAACAGAGAAACAATAGACTGAGATAAAAAAATGACAGTGCCTCAGGGACCTGTGGGACTATAACTCAAGCTTGGTGTCATCACAATACTGGAAGGAATGGAAAAAGAGGCCAGGACTGAAAAAGTACTGAAAGAAATGTTGGCTCAAAACTCCCCAAATTTGGCAAGAGACATAAACCTACATATTCAAGAAGATGAGTGAACCCCAAACAAAAGAAGTCTTCACCAAAATACATAGTAGTCACACTTTTGAAAACTAAAGTCAAAGAAAAAATCTTGAAAGTAGTGAGAAAGAAGCAACCTCTTGCCTAAAGGGAAAAACAATTTGAATGACAGTAGATTTCTCCACAGAAACTATGATGGTTAGAAGGAATTGGCACAATATGGTAAGAAGAAACTGTCCACATAGAATTCTGTTTCCAGTGAAATGATCTCTTAGGAATGAAGGAGAAATCAAGACATTCTCAGGCAAAATAAAACTAAGAATTTGTTGCCAGCAGTTCTACCCTAAAAGGATGGCTATTATAAATTCTCTAAACAGAAATGATTAATAAAGAGGATTCTTGGAGCACTAGAAAGGAGAAAGAATACATTAAGTAAAACTATGGCTATATAACTTTCCTTCTACTCTTGAGATTTCTAGATTATGTTTGATGGTTGATACTAGAATTATGACAGTCTGGTGTGGTTATAAATGTATGCAGAGGAAATATTTAAGACAATTGTAGATGGGTGGAGGATAAATGAACATATAGGGAGTTAAGGTTTCCATGTATCACTCTAATTGGAAAATGACCACATCAGTAGACCATGATAAATTAGGTATATATAATGTACTACCTAGAGCAATAACTAAAAATGCTATACAAAGAGACTAACTAAAAACACTATAGATGAATCAAAATAGAATTCTAAACAATATTAATTAACCTACAGGAAGACAGATAAAAACAGAGAGAACAAAAAGAAAACAAAAATAAATAAATAAAATATCAGACTTAAACCCTAATATATCAGTAACTTCATTAAGTGTAAATAGTCTAAATATACCAATTGAAAGACAGAGGTTGGCAGGTGGATTAAAAGCATTACTCAACTATATATTGTTGATAAGAATCTTATTTTCAATATGACGATATGGGCAGGTTGAAAATGAAGGATGAAAAACTATATATTATGCATGCATTAATGAGGAGAAAGCAGGAATGGTTATTATAATATCAGATAATGTAGACTTCAGAGCAAAGAACATTACCAGAGATACAGAGGACTTTATAATTGATAAAATAGTTAATTCTTCAATAAGACAAAACAATTCCAAATATTTATTGAAAAATGATCAACATGAAAAAATGTTCAACATCATTTACCATTAGGAAAATGCAAATTAAACCATAATGAGATATCACTGCATATCTCTCAGAATGCCTTTCAACAAAGAGGATGCACAAATGGCAGATAAGCACATGAAAAAAATGTTTAACATTATTTACCATTAGGAAAATGCAATATCATTTACCATTAAGAAAATGCAAATTAAACCACAACAAGATATCACTGCTTAATTATCAGAATGCCTAAAATAAAAAATAGTGACAACAAATGCTATTCCAAAACAATTCCATATTTTGTAGTAGCAAATGACAGAACTACAAAATATGTGAAGTAAAAACTGAAAGGAGAAACAGACAAATCCAAAATTATAGTTGGAGACTCTTAACACCTCTCTTTCAACAATCGATAGGAAAAACTAGACAGGAAGACTCTAAGGATATGGAAAAACTCAACACCATTATCAGCCTTCAGTATCTAATCTGCATTTTTAGACTATGAACCCAATACCAGTATTCTTGTCATCTGCCCATGGATCATATGCTAAGATGGACCATAGTCTGGGACATAAAATCAACCTCAATACAATACATTTGAAAGAATTGAAATCATACAGAGTGTGTTCTCTGACTATAATGGAACCAAACTCAACATTGATAACAGAATGGTAATAGGAAAATCTACAAACACTTGGAAACTAAATAGTACAATACTGAATAATCCATGCATCAAAGAGGAAATCTCAGAGAAATAAAAAAAAATTGAACTGAATTAAAATAAAAATACAACATGCCAAAATTTGTGGGGCCACAGCTAAAGTAATGGTGAAGGAGAAATTTATAGCACTAAATGTATACATTACAAAAGAGGAAAAGTATCAGATCAATAGTCTAAGTTCCCACTTAATGTTATAATAGCTGGATTATTGATATAAGTAACATGGTGTCTACCTTTAAGAAAAGTGTGTTTAAAGCCATTAAATCCCAACAAATGTGATTAAATTTTAGAATCTGTTTGTCAATAACTGCTGGTAGACTGGACAGCAGTTATTGACAAACAGATTCTAAAATTTATATGGAAAGGCAAAGAAAGTAGAGTAGCTAAAATGTTTCTGAAAAATAAGAAAAAAGTGGGAGGTGTCAGGCCTTAACAGGTACAATAGTCAAGACTGTGTAATATTGGTAGAGAAAGAGACAGTGGAAAGGAATAGAAAACACAGAAATATATCCATACAAATATGTTCAACTGATTTGACAAAGGTGCAAAGCAATTCACTTTCATTTCAACAAATGGTACTGTAGCAAGTAAATATCCATGGGCAAAAAAGTGAAACTTGATCTAATTCTTACACCTTATGCAAAAGTTATCTCAAGTGGAACATGGACTTAAACATAAAACTAGAAACCTTTCAGAAGTTTTATAGTTTTATAAAAAAATATAACTTCTGAACTGAGGACTAGGCAGAGTGCTTAGACTTGTCACTAAAAGCATAAACCATAAAGGTAAATTGAGAATTTGATCTTTATCCAAATTATTATTAGTTGTAGTACTTTGAAAAAGACCCTGTTAAGAGGATGAGAAAACAAGCTGCAGACTAGGAGGAAATATTTACAAACCACATATCTAGCAAAGGACCGGCATCTAGAATTAATAAAGAACTCTCAAAACTCAAGAATAAAAAAATTCAATCAAAAACTTGGCAAATGGCATGAATAGACATTTCACCAAAGAGGATGCACAAATGGCAGATAAGCACATGAAAAAATGTTCAACATCATTTACCATTAGGAAAATGCAAATTAAACCACAATGAGATATCACTGCATACCTATCAGAATGTCTAAAATAAAAAATAGTGACAACAAATGCTATCAAGGATGCAGAGATATTGGATCACGCAGACAATGTTACTACTATGGAAAAGTTTGGCAGTTTCTTTAAAAAGTAAGCATGCTACTATCATGTCATCCAACAATTGCACTCTTGACATTTATCACCAACAAAAGAAGACATGTTCACACAAAAATCTGAGGTAAATGTTCATAGTAGCTTTATTAGTAATAACCAAAAAAACTGGTAACAACCCAGGTGTCCTTTAAGGGGTAAATGGATTATATTACCCAGCAATAGAAAACAAAGAAGTACTGATACCTGCAACAACTTGGATGAATCTCCAGAGAACCATTAAGGAAGAAAAAAAAAAATATGTCGATTTCCTAAAGTTAGATACTGTATGGTTACATTTATACTGTATTCTTGAAATGACAAAATTACAAGACTAGGGAACAAATTTGTAGTTGCTAGCAGCTAAGGACAGGTTTGTGGTGAAGAAGAGTGGGAGTTAAGTGTGTGTGGCTTTAAGAGTGACATAGGAATCCTTGTGGTGATGAAAGTTCCTTTGTATATAGACTGTACAGTGTCTATATCTTGGTTGTGAATTGTATTGTAGTTTTGCACTATGTTTCTATTAGGGAAATATGGGTAGAAGGTACATGAGATCTCTCTGTATTATTTTTTACGACTGAATATGAATCTACAGTCATCTCAGAATAAAAACTGTAATTAAAGATGTTAGTAGATTCATTATAAAAGTGTATGTTTCTCAGAATGTGAGTCCTGCCATCTCACTCTCCTCCACAGTCACCACGAACTTCACCTCTTACTCCACCACCTTCTCCATCAACTACCGGTCACTGGGCTCCATCCAGCTGCCCAGCATCCCAGCATTCCAGTGTCCAGTCTACCAGCAGTGTGGCCAGCGTCTATGTAGGTGCCAGGAGCTTGGGCTCCCAGATCTCTGTGTCCTCCTCCACCAACTTCCAGGGTGGCTGGGGATCCGGAGACCTGGCTGCAGGGATGGCCTGGGGGCTGGGCAGCACCCAGAGTGAGAAGGAGACCATGCAAGAGCTGAACAGCTGCCTGGCCTCCTAACCTAGACAGGGTGAGGAACTTGGAGAATCAGAAGCTGGAGAGCAAAATCTGGGAACACCAGGAGAAGGGCCCACAGGTTTGAGAACAGAGACTAGGGGTATTATTTCAAGACCATCAAGGAGCTCAGGGCTCAGATCTTTGCAACTTCTGTGGACAATGCCCACATCATTCTGCAGATTGACAAGCCCATCTTGCTGATGACTTTAGAGTCGAGTATGAGACAGCTGGCCAGGCGCCTGTCTATAGGGAACAACATCAATGCACTCTGCAAGGTCATTGATGACACCACTGTCACTTGGCTGCAGCTGGAGACAGAGACAGAAGATCTCAAGGAAGAGCTGCTCTTCATGAAGAAGAACCATGAGGTGGAAGTAAAAGCCTACAAGCCCAGATTGTCAACTCTGGATTGAGTGTGGAGGTAGACGCCCCCAAATCTCAGGACCCTCAGCACAATCATGCTGGGCATCTGGGCCTGTATTATGAGATGACTCAGGAGCGCTCAGAGAAGCTGGACAAGAACTGATCACAGCAGATCAAGGAGAGACTCACAGCATTCATCACACAGTCTGCGAGATGGAGCTGCTGAGATGACCCTCATGGAGCTGAGATGTGCAGTGCCGTCCTTGGAGCTCGACCTGGACTTGTGAGAAATCTGAAGCCCAGCTTGGAGAACAGTCTGAGGAAGGTGCAGGTTCGCTGCGTCATGCAGATGGAGCAGTTCAGTGGGGGCCCTCCTGTGCCTGGAGTCCAAGTTGGCACAGACCTGGCAGAGGGCCAGCATTAGGCTCTGGAGTACAGGGCCCTGCTGAGCATCAAGGTCAAGAGGGAGGCTGAGATCACCACCTACCGCCGCCTGCTGGAGGATGGGGAGGACGTCAGTCTCGGTGATGCCCTGGACAGCACCAGCTCCATTCAGACCATCCAGAAGACCATCCCCCGCAGGACAGCGGACGGCCAAGTGGTGTCTGAGATCAATGATACACCAAAGTTCTGAGGCACTGAGGCGGTGGGAGCAGGGTACCTTTTGGGGGAGCAGGAGGCCAATAAAAAGTTCAAAGGTAAAAAAAAGTATATGCTTCTTTTTATAAGTTACAAGAAGATACATAAGAAAATGATATACTCCCTTCTAAACCCTCCTTAACTCCTCAGACTAATTAATACTTATTGTGCTTATCCTTCTACTTTGATTTCAGTTTTTAGTGCAAATGTATATACATACAAATCTAGAGTATTGTTTTCTTAATAAAATAAGAACATACTATACACATTCTGCAACTAACTTAAACACATATCGATGAACATACATCAATATTTATAACTTTTAATATATTCCTTTTTTTTCTTTTTTGAGTTGGCATCTAACTCCGTCGCCCAGGCTGGAGTGCAGTGGCACGCTCATGCCACCCCAGTGTCGACCTGCTGGGCTCAGATGATCTTTCCGCCTCAGTCTTCCAAGCAACCGAATTACAGGCACATGCTACCACGCCCAGCTAATTTTTTGATTTATTGTAGAGACAAGATCTCGTCAAGTTTCCCAGGCTGTTCTCAAACCTGTGGGCTCAGGCAATCCATTCACCTCAACCTCCCAAAGTATTAGGATCACAGGCTTGAGTCACTGCACCCGACCAATATATTCTTTTAAAGAACTGCCTATTATAGAATTCATAGTATTTAGACATTTTCTTGGCCCTGTGCTTTTCAAATTTCATTGTTATCTTAGGAACAAATTTTTGCTTATTGAAGGTATAAATCAGATAACCTACCAGAATTTGGGCAGAGAAAAGCATTGTGTTGTTTGAATGACACCAGTACAATTGGAAGGAACTCGTTTGGACAAATCTTTTCTATCCAAAAACAACAGTCAAATTTCTTACACTTTTCTCTTAAACTTTCCCTTGTGCAGTTCTTTATTGTCCTCATAGATGTAACAGCTTACGTTGGAATAGTGATGTAATGATTAAGAAATTTTCTTCTATTGCCAAGTCAATTTGCAGTTTTTTTTTTTCTGTGAAAATTTAAAGTCTCTCAGATAATATTTGGATGTTTTCAGAGAAGACAAAGTGCTTATGTATTTAATTTTTATTCAATTTTATTTTTTTAAGTAGAAGTGTCACTCTGTTGCCACTGCACTCCAACCTGGGCAACAGAGTGACACTCCTACTAAAAAAAAAAAATTGAATAAAAATTAAATACATAAACACTTTATGTTTTCTGAAAGCATCCAAACCTGGGCACTGCAGCCTTGACCTGCTGGGCTCAGGTGATCCTTCTGCCTCAACCTTCCAAGTAGCTGGAACCATGAGCATGTGCCACCATGGCCAGTTAATTTAATTTTATTTTTTATTTATTGTAGAGACGAGGTCTCACCAAGTTGCCCAGGCTGGTCTTGAACCTCTGGGCTCAGGCAACCCTCTAGCCTCTGTCTCCCAAAATGCTGTGATTACAGGCGTGAGCCACTGCTTCCGGCTTTTAATCACTTTTTAAAAGTGGAAAATGAGATATTTAAATTAGTTATTGAAGGAAAATTTCTATTCCTTTAGCTGGTTTGATTGTAACAATGATTTTAAACCAAGCTAAAAGTTGTTTCTGCAAAATAAACTTATTCTGTGTTGTGTATAAGTGCAGATTATTTTTCATGAGAATTTTCTTTCAAGATTAGAATAAAGAATGTTAATTTATTGTAGAATTCAGATTTTTTTCTGTTTTTTTAGTACACATGCTACCCAGTAAGTGCTTTTTAAATCTTGTTTGTATAATTGAGTCCCTTAATTTAGACTATAAAGGATAAAGACCAAGTGTATTTGAGTCTTGAACACGATCCATTTTCACACATACCTGAGTTTAAGCAAGATCTGCACATGTGAGATAAAGTAAAGAATTTAAAAATGTTGTTTAAAATGATGCTTTTTCTGGCAATTTCAGATACAATTCAATTATTTGGATATTTAGGATACTTTAATATCTCCCTTTCCCCTTTGAATTGTTAATTTAATATGTAACTCAATTTCAACTTTGATTTCGTAACATAGATCTTTTTAATACTTTACACTTTAAGGACTGGCCCAAGGCCTTAGAATCACTTTGAGTAGGAGGTGAGGTAGGACACTAACTGATCAACTGAATATTAAAAATCCAGCATTGTCCCTTGGCATTGTAGAGAATTAGTCCACTTTAAGGATAATTTTTGTGATGCCTTCACGTCATGATTTTCACTTATTTTGTGTAAACTAGAGAGAACTTACACGATTTAAAACAGTTTAACGTGTGAAGTTGATATCAGAGCTTAGAATAGCATGGCTACCTTGACAGCAAATTAAACCAATTAAATATCCCAGGAAGGTTACACATTGACTTACTGCATAAGAAGCCGTTTATTTTTTATTACTGAAATGTACAGTATTTGGTTGTGATTGAAGTCAGCCATTCTGTAGCTGTAAACAGCCTGAAGCTAGGCAGCTGTATTCTTTACAGTGTGTGTTTTAAAGCAGAATAGGTAAACATGTGGGTTTTAAGGATGGGTAGATAGTTTTGACAGTAAAATCAAAATTTTGAGAACTAGCCAACTATAATCATGTTTAAGTATCTCTTATCCCAAATGAAAACAGTCTAATAGACTAAAGCACATTTTCTGGTTGTATTGGTTATATGCTTCATTTTAGGGGGCTCAGTCTTTTTTTTTTTTTTTTGAGTTGGAGTCTCACTCTGTCGCCCAGACTGGAGTGCAGTGGCCGCTCCTGGCCACCGCAGCCTCGACCTGCTGGGCTCCAGCGATCCTTCCACCTCAGCCTTCCAAGTGGCTGGAACTACAGGCGTGCGCTAACATGCCCAGCTAATTTTTTGATTTATTGTAGAGATGAGGTCTCGCCAAGTTTCCCAGGTGGGTCTCGAACCCACGGGCTCAGGCAATCCACTCACCTCAGCCTCCCAAAGCGTGGAATTACAGGCTGAGCCACTGAGCCCGGCTAGGGGGATATTCTTTTACAAGTACCTGGTTTTCTTCATTTATTGCAAAGTATGCTGAGTCTCGGTCTCACCTATTAGAGAAAGTTGGCTTGACAAAATTAGCCAAATTTATTATCCTTATGAGTTGTTATGCGTATGGTGGGAAAAAGTTTAACTTCTTAGTCTATAGCATTGGAACTAAAAATAATACATTATCATTTAATCAATTTTCTTTGACATATTTTATTTTGTGCTCTTATTGTATGACAAAGGACTTTCGGAGCTCTGGCGACACATTTCTCCATAGTGTTTCCTTACCCTCATTTTTCATTAAAATGGTATCTGATTAAAGTAATAACCTGATTAATTTTATGTCGTAGATAACAAAACTGAGATCCAGTGAGGGAAAATGACTTCTGCAAGGCTGTATAGTTAATTAGCATAGTCAGGACTGAACGATTTAGTTCTTTTGACAGCCAGTCCAGAGTTGTTTTTATTCATATCACATCATGCAGATGACACATTCCTTTTTCTCTTTTACTTCATCTTCTTTTCTTTTTTTTTTCATTATTACCTTAAGACCTAGATGCCAGGTATCTGTATTTATTTCTTACTTTGATCTCTTCTCTCTCAGATCTCTTCATTAGTGGGTGTACCTCTTGCTAGTAGCTTCTGAGCCCAACACACATGGGTCCGGGGAAAGTCAGCAAGAACTGAGGACTTTCTCATAGAGCCCTGTGGTGTTATAGTAGAGATGGTGGATGTGGGATGGGACTTGGACTGGGCACCTAAGATAGTGCCTTTTGTCATCAGAGTGAAAGGATTTAGGTAGAATGAATTACGTTTAGTGGGGACATTAATAGTTGTTTATATGATCATTTACCAGTTATATTAAGTCAAAAATCATGGATTCTGCCAACTTAGGTTGCTGTTGGTATGAATAGAAGGTAAAATATTCTTTATCTGCCGTCTCTCATGTCAAATAATAGCAGAGTAACAGACTGACCAACTTTTTACTTAATATGACTAGCTTTATTATTTTTGAACTCTAAGCTATTCTCAAGAAGAATACCAGCAAGTAATTTCTCTTCTTAGCCTGATGGATATACATTATGAGTCTCCATGTTTTTTGGAAGAGCTACTTTGACATCGAGACTTGGGTCACTTAACAATGAGAATATTTCTCAGAAATGAATCATTAGGTGATTTTGTTGCTGTGCAATTATAGAGTGTACTACCTAGACGGTATAGCCTAATACAAACCTAGGCTTTATGGTCTAGCCTATTGCTCCAAGGCTACAGACCTGTACAGAATGATACTGTAATGACCACTGTAGGCAACTGTAGCACAATGGTAAATACTTGTGTGTCTAAACATAGAAAGGAAAGGAAAAATATGATATTATAATCTTATGGGATCACTGTCACA